TCGTTAAATGGGACGGTAGACATGTTTTTTGGGGGGTGGGGGGGGGTGGGGGGGGGGGGTGGGGGGGGGTGTTGGGGGGTGGGGGGGTTGGTTTTAGTTTAGAGAAAAGAGACAGCACTATCAACCTAGCGCCCGGTGTATCCTTCCTCAACGGGCCATTTTTCTAGTCTATAATAATAGTTTCGCTGTCTGTGTATCTATCTATCTATCTATCTGACAAGAACGCTCTGGAACGCTCTAGAGAAAACATAAGCAAATATTCCATCTGACAAGAACGCTGTAGAGAAAACACAAGCAAAATAAAAAACTGCATAGTAATTCGAAAAATAATTCGAAAAACGAAGTATGACGTCGCCACATTTAGTGCACACAGTAATATGACGTCATTGATTATCGAGTAAACATTGAATAAAAAGGAAATTTTGTCTAATCTAAATGGTTTGCGTGAAGAGTTTCTTGCATACAATTCTTCGGGTAGGGGCGAAGCCCCACCCCCCGCGTAAGAACGTCTGAGCCCCCCCCCCCTCCCCAACTCTAAAGAAATTTCTTCATCGATACTCTATAATAAAATTACCGCCTAATTAATGTGTCTAATCTAAAAATTGGTTTTCTTGCAATTTCTTTAATGCAATTCTTCGGGTAGTGGCTAAGCGCGACACCGGTGTTTCTTTCAGACTTTTTCCTCCCCGGAGAGGGGTGGGGGTACTTGAAATTTTCGGGGGCGGGGGTAGAATTTTCGGGGAGGGGGCGGACACTGGAAAAAGTATATAATTATATTTCGTTGAATGGGACGGTAGACATGTTTTTTTAGGGGGTGGGGGGTGGGGGTGGGGGGTGGTGTGTGTGGGGTTGGGGGGGGGGGGGTGTTTTGTGGGGGGGGGGTGGGTGGGGTGGGGGGGCAGGGTGGTTTTAGTTTAGACTTTTTCCTTCCCGGAGAGGGGTGGGGGGTACTTGAAATTTTTGGTGGCGGGGGTAGAATTTTCGGGGAGGGGGCGGACACTGGAAAAAGTATATAATTATATTTCGTTGAATGGGACGGTAGACATGTTTTTTTAGGGGGGTGGGGGGTGGGGGGGGGGGGGGTGGTGTGTGTGGGGTTGGGGGGGGGGTGTTTTGTGGGGGGGGGGGGGTGAGGGGGCAGGGTGGTTTTAGTTTAAACTTTTTCCTCCCCGGAGAGGGGTGGGGGTACTTGAATTTTTCGGTGGCGGGGGTAGAATTTTCGGGGAGGGGGCGGACACTGGAAAAAGTATATAATTATATTTCGTTGAATGGGACGGTAGACATGTTTTTTGTGGGGGGTGGGGGGTGGGGGTGGGGGTGTGGTGTGGGGGGGTGGTGTGTGTGGGGGGTGGGGGGGTGGTGTGTGTGGGGGGGTGGGGTGGTTTTAGTTTAGACTTTTTCCTCCCCGGGGAGGGGTGGGGGTACTTGAAATTTTCGGTGGCGGGGGTAGAATTTTCGGGGAGAGGGCGGACACCGGAAAAAGTATATATTATATTTCGTTGAATGGGACGGTAGACATGTTTTTTTGAGGGTGGGGGGGTGTGTGTGTGGGGGGGGGGGGGGGTGGGGGGTGTGTGGGGGGGGGGGGTGGTGTGTGTGGGGGGGTGGTTTTAGTTTAGACTTTTTCCTCCCCGGAGAGGGGTGGGGGTACTTGAAATTTTCGGTGGCGGGGGTAGAATTTTCGGGGAGAGGGCGGACACTGGAAAAAGTATATAATTATATTTCGTTGAATGGGAAGGTAGACATGTTTTTTTTTGGGGGGGGGGGGGGGTGGGGGGGTGGGGGTGGGGGTGGGGTGTGTGTGTGGGGGGGGGGGATGGTTTTAGTTTAGAGAAAAGAGACAGCACAGTCAGCCTAGCGCCCGTTGTATCCTTCCTCAACGGGCCATTTTTCTAGTCTATAATAATAGTTTCGCTGTCTGTGTATCTATCTATCTATCTATCTGACAAGAACGCTCTGGAACGCTCTAGAGAAAACATAAGCAAATATTCCATCTGACAAGAACGCTGTAGAGAAAACACAAGCAAAATAAAAAACTGCATAGTAATTCGAAAAATAATTCGAAAAACGAAGTATGACGTCGCCACATTTAGTGCACACAGTAATATGACGTCATTGATTATCGACTAAACATTGAATAAAAAGGAAATTTTGTCTAATCTAAATGGTTTGCGTGAAGAGTTTCTTGCATACAATTCTTCGGGTAGGGGCGAAGCCCCACCCCCCGCGTAAGAACGTCTGAGCCCCCCCCCCCCCCCCCTCCCCAACTCTAAAGAAATTTCTTCATCGATACTCTATAATAAAATTACCGCCTAATTAATGTGTCTAATCTAAAAATTGGTTTTCTTGCAATTTCTTTAATGCAATTCTTCGGGTAGTGGCTAAGCGCGACACCGGTGTTTCTTTCAGACTTTTTCCTCCCCGGAGAGGGGTGGGGGGTACTTGAAATTTTCGGGGGCGGGGGTAGAATTTTCGGGGAGGGGGCGGACACTGGAAAAAGTATATAATTATATTTCGTTGAATGGGACGGTAGACATGTTTTTTTAGGGGGGTGGGGGGTGGGGGGGGGGGGGGGGTGGTGTGTGTGGGGTTGGGGGGGGGGGGGTGTTTTGTGGGGGGGGGGGGGGTGAGGGGGCAGGGTGGTTTTAGTTTAAACTTTTTCCTCCCCGGAGAGGGGTGGGGGTACTTGAATTTTTCGGTGGCGGGGGTAGAATTTTCGGGGAGGGGGCGGACACTGGAAAAAGTATATAATTATATTTCGTTGAATGGGACGGTAGACATGTTTTTTTAGGGGGGTGGGGGGTTTGGGGTGGGGGTGTGGTGTGGGGGGGTGGTGTGTGTGGGGGGTGGGGGGGTGGTGTGTGTGGGGGGGTGGGGTGGTTTTAGTTTAGACTTTTTCCTCCCCGGAGTGGGGTGGGGGTACTTGAAATTTTCGGTGGCGGGGGTAGAATTTTCGGGGAGGGGGCGGACACTGGAAAAAGTATATAATTATATTTCGTTGAATGGGACGGTAGACATGTTTTTTGTGGGGGGTGGGGGGGTTTGGGGTGGGGGTGTAGTGTGGGGGGGTGGTGTGTGTGGGGGGTGGGGGGTGGTGTGTGTGGGGGGGTGGGGTGGTTTTAGTTTAGACTTTTTCCTCCCCGGAGTGGGGTGGGGGTACTTGAAATTTTCGGTGGCGGGGGTAGAATTTTCGGGGAGGGGGCGGACACTGGAAAAAGTAAATAATTATATTTCGTTGAATGGGACGGTAGACATGTTTTTTGTGGGGGGTGGGGGTGGGGGGTGTGTGTGTGTGGGGGGGGGGGGTGGGGGGTGGTGTGTGTGGGGTGTGTGTGTAGGGGGGTGGTTTTAGTGTAGACTTTTTCCTCCCCGGGGAGGGGTGGGGGGTACTTGAAATTTTCGGTGGCGGGGGTAGAATTTTCGGGGAGAGGGCGGACACTGGAAAAAGTATATATTATATTTCGTTGAATGGGACGGTAGACATGTTTTTTTGGGGGTGGGGGTGGGTGTGTGTGGGGGGGGGTGGTGTGTGTGTGGGGGGGGGGGTGGTGTGTGTGGGGGGGTGGTTTTAGTTTAGACTTTTTCCTCCCCGGAGAGGGGTGGGGGGTACTTGAAATTTTCGGTGGCGGGGGTAGAATTTTCGGGGAGAGGGCGGACACTGGAAAAAGTATATAATTATATTTCGTTGAATTGGAAGGTAGACATGTTTTTTTTTGGGGGGGGGGGGGAGGGGTGGGGGGGGGTGGGGGGGGTGTGTGTGCGTGTGTGGGGGGGGGGGGGTGGGATGGTTTTAGTTTAGAGAAAAGAGACAGCACAATCAGCCTTGCGCCCGTTGTATCCTTCCTCAACGGGCCATTTTTCTAGTATAAGAATATTCGAGAAAATTTAGGGGAGATCACTTCCGGTTTATTTTTAATTATTAAACGTGTTATAAACTAAAAATCTCCCACCTGCCGGTGATTCGATATAGTGAACGATTATAATAGCCCCTTTTATCCATAGTGTATAGCACACTATGAAATGAACGTAGGAGTCATAGTGCTCACTGGGAAACCCGGGACGCCAAATCGGCCCCTGCATGGGCGCCAAATAATGCTACTTATATGAGATATTTTGTCTGAGATCATTTGTCCATGATATCATTTGTTCTGATATATTTTGTCCTGATATATTTTGTCCGTGAGATCATTTGTCCTTGAGATCATTTGTCCGGAGATCATTTGTCCTGAGATTATTTGTCCGTGAGATATTTTGTCTGAGATATTTTGTCTGAGATCATTTGTCCTGAGATCATTTGTCATGGAACCAGTCAAAGAACTAAACCAACTGTATAACGGGGCTTATTAGTAGATCACCAATTGCTAAACCAAATACGAATATTTTAATTAAATTTGTAAAAAGAAATTATTTCCGCTATTGCTTTTTAAAATCGTGTACAACGATAATATAGACTTTTAAGTACGTAAAATTAGACTTTAACGCTAAGTTTCTATCTATGACCCTTCTTTACCTTTGTGTTTGACACTAATTAGCGATGTCACAAATTACAGACTGACCAGTTTAGCTAGACGCACATAAAATACCTAAGACTACCAAGGTATAAGTCATCGCCGTGTTTTGTTTTTCTGTGAAACTAACGATAATTTTAGATTTTAAATAATATGCACTACTTATTTTTTTTACGTATACGAAAATTTCCTGCAGAGCCTCCCAACAGTGCCCCGATGATCTACGCCAACAGACACCAGCCTGCAACTGGAACTTCGAAGATTGATGTGTATATTAACGAACTCCTAGACGTCACATGCCTGGTTAAGGGTGGCGTGCCAGAGGTTGCGTCTGTAACCTTGACATGTTTGTCACACGAATATACAAACAGAAGCATTACCGTAACAGCAAAGATTTTGATCAGCGCCAGCAGTCATAGTGTATCATGCATCTGTAGCGCTACCCATGTAACTAACTGCTATGATCTTAAGTCAGAAGTGGTGTTTAACGTAATGTCCGGTGGAAGCGTTTCAAGTGACCCGATTATCTTATCGGACAAGCAAACACCCACCAACAAAGACAGTTCAACAACCTATCCTACACCCACCAACAAAGACAGTTCAACAACCTATCCTACACCCACCAACAATGACAGTTCAACAACCTATCCTACGACCACCAACAAAGACAGTTCAACAACCTATCCTACACCCACCAACAAAGACAGTTCAACAACCTATCCTACACCCACCAACAAAGACAGTTCAACAATCCATCCTACACCCACCAACAAAGACAGTTCAACAACATATCCTACACCCACCAACAATGACAGTTCAACAACCTATCCTATACCCTCTACAAAAGACAGTTCAACAACCTATCCTACACCCACCAACAATGACAGTTCAACAACCTATCCTACGACCACCAACAAAGACAGTTCAACAACCTATCCTACACCCACAACAAAAGACAGTTCAACAATCTATCCTACGCCCACCAACAAAGAGAGTTCAACAACTTATCTTACACCCATCAACAAAGACAGTTCATTAACCTATCCTATGCCCACCAACAAAGACAGTCCAACAACGTATCTTACACCCACCAACAAAGACAAATCGACAATCTATTCTACGCCCACCAATAAAGACAGTCTAACAACCTATCCTACACCCACCACAAAAGACATTTCAACAATCTATCCTATGCCCACCACAAAAGACAGTTCAACAACATATCCTTTACACTCCAACAAAGACAGTTCAACAACCTATCCTACACCCACCGTAAAAGACACTTCAACAAGCTATACTACGCCCACTAACAAAGACAGTTCAACAATCTATCCTACGCCCACCAACAAAGATAGTTCAACAAGCTATCCTACGCTCACTAACAAAGACAGTTCAACAATCTATCCTATACCCTCTACAAAAGACAGTTCAACAATCTATCCTACATATACCAACACAGACAGTTCAACAACCTATCCCACGCCCACCAACAAAGACAGTTCAACAACCTATCCTATACCCTCTACAAAAGACAGTTCAACAATCTATCCTACATATACCAACACAGACAGTTCAACAACCTATCCCACGCCCACCAACAAAGACAGTTCAACAACCTATCCCACACCCACCAATATGGACAGTTCAACAACCTATCCTACGCCCACCAACAAAGACAGTTCAACAACCTATCCTATCCCTGCCAACAAAGACAGTGCAATAACCTATTTTACACACACCACAGAAGACAGTTCAACAACCTATCCTACGCCCACCACAAAAGACAGTCTAACAACCTATCCTACGCCCACCAACAATGACAGTTCAACAATCTATCCTACACCCACCACAAAAGACAGTTCAACAACCTATTATACACCCACCAACAAAGACAGTTCAACAACATATCCTTTACACTCCAAAAAAGACAGTTCAACAACCTATCCTACACCCACCGTAAAAGACACTTCAACAAGCTATACTACGCTCACTAACAAAGACAGTTCAACAATCTATCCTATACCCACTACAAAAGACAGTTCGACAATCTATCCTACGCCCACCAACAAAGATAGTTCAACAAGCTATCCTACGCTCACTAACAAAGACAGTTCAACAATCTATCCTATACCCTCTACAAAAGACAGTTCAACAATCTATCCTACATATACCAACACAGACAGTTCAACAACCTATCCCACGCCCACCAACAAAGACAGTTCAACAACCTATCCCACACCCACCAATATGGACAGTTCAACAACCTATCCTACGCCCACCAAAAAAGACAGTTCAACAACCTATCCCACACCCACCAAAAAAGACAGTTCAACAACCTATCCTATCCCTGCCAACAAAGACAGTGCAATAACCTATTTTACACCCACCACAGAAGACAGTTCAACAACCTATCCTACGCCCACCAAAAAAGACAGTTCAACAACCTATCCTACGCCCACTAACAAAGACAGTGCAATAACCTATTCTACACCCACCACAAAAGACAGTTCAACAATCTATTTTACATATACCAACAAAGACAGTTCAGCAACCTATCCCACACACACAATCAAAGACAGTTTAACAACCTATCTTACCTCTGCCAACAAAGACAGTTCAACAACATATCCTACTCCCACCAAAGAAGAAAGTTCAACAACCTATCCTACGCCCACCAACAAAGACAGTTCAACAACCTATCCAACACCTACCAACAATGACAGTTCAACAGCCTATCCTACGCCCACAAACAAAGACAGTTCACAAATCTATCCTACGCCCTCCAACAAAGACAGTTCAACAACCTATCCTACGCCCTCCAACAAAGACAGTTCATCAATCTATCCTACGCCCTCCAGCAAAGACAGTTCAACAACCTATCCTACGCCCTCCAACAAAGACAGTATAACAATCTATCCTACGCCCTCCAACAGAGACAGTTCAACAATCTATCCTACGCCCTCCAGCAAAGACAGTTCAACAACCTATCCTACGCCCTTCAACAGAGACAGTTCAACAATCTATCCTACGCCCTCCAGCAAAGACAGTTCAACAACCTATCCTACGCCCTCCAACAGAGACAGTTCAACAATCTATCCTACGCCCTCCAACAGAGACAGTTCAACAATCTATCCTACGCCCTCCAACAAAGACAGTTCAACAACCTCTATTACGCCAACCAGTTCGGGCAATTCAACAATTGATCCATCTGTGGTAATTAAGAAATCTGACAGTTCTGGTAGGTCCATTTTACAACTCTAGTGCTTTACGCTTAATGCTTTGTCATAGATTGTAACTGCCACGCGAAATTTTGACCATTTCTGGCCTATCGGTTAGTTTAATATGTGACACGTTGGTTAAGACCCGATTGAAATGCCAACTGACAGTAATTTGACTAAATTTGACAAACATGTAAATACAATAAATTGTCATAAATTGTAAGCTTTTGAACGTAGGGGTACAAAGGGCCGAAGTAGAGTTCACCTGTTTTCTCTAACTCGGCATCTGAGGGGCATTGATGTCAGTACTATGCTCATTAGCCTTTACATTTACTAATGTTAGTCAAGTACCCAACACAACTGAGAGGATAGAGTGGTATATTACGTTTAAGCTTACGTAAGTTTAAGTGTATGCATACGTTTACGTTTACGTTTGCTTATGCTTCAGTGCTTCAGTGGCGTAGCTATCGTAAAGCTTGCATAATCAAGGCATAGGGGCCCAAAGCACATAGGGGCCCGTTTCACTCTTTAAAAAACTTAAAATCTTTTCATTGGAAATTTAATATTTTAATATTTGTTAAATATAAATATTAAAAAAAAAAAATCTTCCAAAAAGGCCCCAGTCTTTTTTTTATTGTACAGGCAGTGGGATTCAGTGCGGTGGGGAGGGGGGATTAGAAAAGGGCTCATCTGTAACAATAAGACTACAGGCGTTGCCGTTTTGTCGTGCACGACATTGAGAGATATAGCTTATAAATAAACTTGAGCTTTGACTCATAAGTTTAAATTCATCGCTACAAACCTCAACTGACTGGTAAATTCACTACCCCTTCCACCCCCCCCCGCCAGACCTGCAGCTCCCGACCCCCCCCCCCCCCCAACTGTCTCCCCAAAATTATATCCAATTAACCATCAATGATAAAAGCTGAACCATTTAAAAAAATAACACCCATGGACAGTGTATTTACAATAAGCAAAGTCCAACATTTATTAATGTTTTTCTACTATCTGAGTGTAAATTATCAGTTGATTTTGCGTCCTGCAGAGTCAAGGGTACTACTTGATTCAACGGTCAAACTGCAACACTGGTGGCTTTCGATATCCTCGGCGTACGGATTACACCAATCACAAGAGTGGCCTACACTAGGAACATTGTAGGCCTCCACGATTTAACCGAACAAGGGGTTGCACCAGGCTACTTACGGTAGTGTAACCAGTCACTCCCGCGACGCCCCTGACACCTAGGCGGTTGCCGAAAGCGATTCAACCGCACTATTACGAAGGATGATTATCGTACACTCAATGCTTTCATATAGCACGCCCAATGGCGTCTGAGCGTTAGTGTTAACAAACCCGAGCCCTCCCGCAACAAGGATCCCAAAAAAATAACAGTGGTGATGTTTATATTTTAATTATCTCAGTTTTAGAAAACAAGGTCACACGTCTACAGATACACAATTGGTAACGTGTTGATGAGACCCTTACACAATTTTTTTGCTAGAATAGTATGTAGGACTAGTATTACGTAACTCTACTACTGGTAAATATTACACAATACCCGGATTCATTTCGGATGGTCCTAGACTGATAAAGTAGGAAACTAAAAAGATTACCAGACAACAAAAACTCTTCGTAGACTCGAATCTAATTTCTAGGGTAAAAACAAATACGAAGACTTTTGGCAACTAATAAACTTTTAATTAATATAAAACCTTCTAAAAAGTAAACAAGTCTAAATAATAAAATACCAATACTATGCAAAAAAAAAATTAGAAATATACAACAATGAAAGACCCAACCTACAATTTTCAAGAATAACACACTGAAACTACTAACACTGGATAAGGTACTTAAGTTATCACCACAACCTACACGTTATTAAAATAAGACAGAAAAATACTGAATACACTGGAACTCAGAGATAATTATTGCTTAATCTAAAAAATACAACATGGCGTCGTGGCTCCCTCTCTCTCTCTCTCTCTCTCTCTCTCTCTCTCTGTGGGTGTCTAGTGGGCTCCTCGTGCGAAGAAAATTCCTCCTTTATATACTACTCCAAAATTATGGGATGTCGACCTCAATGTCAAGGACTATTGGGAGATAAAGACAAAGCACGAGCCACACGAACTCAGCGGTGAATACTATCACATGAGCGTGATGGAAAATTTATTGTTTAAATCACAGACCACTCAAGGCCATTTAAATATTCATAAAATTAAACAGTTAAAAAAAGAAGACCTAAGTAGGTCACACTAGATCACAGCAACACGGACCGGTACGCTAATTAGTTTAAACATTCTTTAACATTAAACGATAATTTTGATGTCTATGATGGAATTTTTAAATCTCATTATCATGATGTTAATTTGTTATGATACAAATTGTATATATGCCGATTGTCTCAGTAGCTTGGCTAAGTATCAAACTTACAGAAGCAGCTAAAATATATCTTAATGAACGTATTAATCATTTTGCAGAATTAAAAACATAAAAAACCAGATCAAAATAAATAATGAGCAATTTTCAATAAATGTGTTTGGTTAGTGGCGTCACAAGTTCCTCTCTGCGCTTCCAAAAGTTGTCACCGCATCGTCCTCCAAAAATTATGCATTTCCTGTGGGATGTAACCCCTCTTTTACTAATCTTTTATTATTTTAGCTTGATTCAACATAACTTTTGACTGTAAAGTTTACAATGTTTTGTCATGGTGTCACGTCTAAATGTAGTCATCATATGCGGATCGCACTTCTACCCCTGCTTTATTACACTACTGTGTTTGTTCACTTAAAAAGAAAACAACAGATTAACTGTAACACTGTAACATTTTTACAAAACTAGATAATAATATAGTAAATTCTACAAAGGCATAAATGTTGTCATCAGAAGCGTGCAGCACCCCTGCCCCCGCCTTGTGACGCTACTGTGTTTGGTTACAAACAAAAACTAAAAATTAACTGTAAGCCTAAACATTTTTACAAAACTACGGCGTAGTAGCACTAGTAGACCTACATAATAATATAATATAAATACATAATTAGGACGTATAAAATACAAAATGTACAGAATATTTATATTATTTAAAACTATCCATCGTAAGTAGCAGTTGATCTCTTCGTTTAACTCAATTGTGGCCTAACGGCTGACGAAGGGGCCCTTTGATAATTTTTGCATAGGGGCCCGAAAATTCTAGCTACGCCACTGTACGGCTTGTATATTATAAAAAATCATTCTAAACAAGAAACCCATTTACTTGTTATAACAAAGTTTTTAATTTACTTTTATTCTTTTAATTTTATACTTCACAGCGAGCTCGAATGTAATAACAACGTGGATAATAGCCGGATTTGCATGTCTTTTGGGAGCGGAAACTGCATTTATCATATTGTATCTTCGATTTGATAATAAACTCGGTAAATTTCCGAGGTTGTTTCTTGTGTATTTTAAAGGGGTTTATATCTAATAGCTTAATTTCTGTAAAACAAAGTAATAATTTTTCAATACATAGGCCTATATGTGTACGTGTAGTAGGTGAAAGTGTATGACTAGGATTAGGCGTAGGTGTAGGTGTATGTGTGTGTTGGTGTTGGTTTAAATATCTTTATATTGATTTTTTACGCTGGTAGTTTCCTTTTGTTTTACTTTTTTATTGTTTATTTTGTAGAAAAATATTTTAGTCAAAATTACCTTCATTTAGTAAGTTCTTTTCTAATTTATGTCTAGTCTGTAGCGACAGTTGTAACGTAAAATGTATCACTGTTATCGTGTGTCTAAAATTTACTCGATGTATACAGTATTCAAGAAAACATCATTTAATATCGTATGTCCACAGAAGAACTTCCTTTAACGACACGACCGACAACAGCCACCACTGAAGCTACAGCTACACAAACTTCAATTGAAATGCCAATAATCTCGCCAGAAACTCAGGATTTAGGCATTTTAAACCCCAGCCGAAGGAGCAGTGTATCAGTGGCAACGACGCATGGAGTGCTGATTGATGTGCAGACCGTACCAGGAGATACCAGATGCTAGCTATAGAAAACACAATCCAATACTCAACTGTACTAAGAATGACCGACTGTAGATATAAGTTACTTTTATCTTTATAGCTTTAAGCTATCACAAGGGGAGACAATAACTACATTTGACATAAACCGCCGTACACAAACTCCCTGCGAAATAACTTTCCCCCTAGACAATAACCTTTGAGTGAGGTTTTATTTTTTAAGGGGGCAGTATCACCCAGACATATGAAAATTGACGAAAAAATTTGCCAAAAAAAAACTATTATACATACACACATAAATTTATTACCATAATAGTATTTATCAATGAGCTACAAAACAGCACATAAAAGAAAGTTATGATACAAACATTTTTTATAAATAATTTTACCAAATTTGTTTTACTAAGTAATTTGTAAATTTTGGCTGCGGTTTACCAAAATTTAGGCCCTTCATGCTGAAAATACTCCAGGAGATGCATAACAGGGTAGCCTATCGCAGGAACTAGAAAATATCCATTGTGACAAAATTTGAAATTTGTAGCATTTTTCAAAGTCAGACCAAAAAAAATTGAACCTTGAAATTTTCTAAACAATCTATCCCTCATTAGAATGCTATGATTTTAGTTCCGTCTGTAGCCAATAACGCAAGAAAGGTTTATACCAAATTTTTACAAGCTTTTATTTAACTCACTTCCTCGTCAGTCGTCAGTCTGTCTAGATCGAAACGCAGGAGCGAAAATTCGGACACTTCTACTTGACCAATACGGTTTACAGTTGGCACGTGGGTCAAGACATGAAGACAATGCATCGTGACATTAAATTTGTTTTAATTGGATGATTAATTAATTTTTTATGAATTATTTAAAATTTGGACCGAATTAGTAGGCATGTTTATCGAACGCACCACACGCGTCATCACGTTCAATAGCGCGTCATCACGTTTCAATGCGTGCAGAAGGCGATATGCCAATAACAAACAACTCTTGAAAGACTACCAATTAAATTTACAGTAATATTGAAATTGCTTTTATTACAGT